TAAAAGAGAATCACAGGATTACAGAGTTAGACCTCAAGAGCCCTACATGCTCACCATATGGATGAGGAAGTAGAGGTATAGAAAGGTTAAGTGACTTGCCCAGTGTCACACAGCTAGTGAGTATCTGAGGTAGGATTTAAACTCAGGTCTTCTTGACTCCAAATTCAATACTCTACAAGAGTCTAGATTAACCCCAAAGCTTGAACAAAGACCAAGGATTCATGAAAAGGGCAATAAAATTATAGATTTGGAGGAGATGAATCTAAAGCAGAGGAGAAAAAAAGATTATACAGTTTCTTCCCCACAAAGGGCATCAGAAAGAGAAAGAATGTAGTCAATATTTTATACATGGGTTCAAGTCCCAGCTCTTTATCTTACTAGCTGTAGGAACCTAGGCAAATCGCAATCTCTATGCCTCAGTTTCCTCATTCACAAAACAAAGATTATTTACACTACCTGCCTCATAGTTTTTTTGTGAGGATTAAATGAAATAATAAGTAAAATGTCACCTACTCAGAAAATTATAAAAATATCAACTATTATGATCATAATAACCATTCCTTAGACTGATGCTGTCAAATAATTAATAAATAACCACAGAAATACAAAGATCAAAATGCTAGGATTAAGTGAAATAATGTACACCTCAGGCTATATTTCCAAAATCAAATCAGACTGTCCTTAGGGTTTATGGGAATGTTATATTTCTTTCAGTCTCTTTCCACTGGTTCTTACCCAAATTCCTACAGGGGTCGAATGCAATTATAGTTTCTTCTAAGATGTGTTGATAGTTTCAATTTTATAGAAATCAAGACATAAGTAAAAACATCTTAATGATAAAAGTAATACTTCCAGAATGTCACTTCATCATCATCATTTTTTTTTTGAAGAAGGAACCTCTCGATGCCAGAGAACTTTTAGATACTCTTCCAATAAAGAAGTTTCCAATGTTTTATGGCAACATTCCAAGTAACACAAATAACTATGGGAAAGGACTCAAATAGTTATTACTCAGTCTAAAAAAGAATATGAAATGTCCCAAAGAAATCTCCTACTTATAAAAATAAAAATGTTCTCAGGAAATCCAAATACCATGCAATGCTTTGGCCTTAACAATATTTATTGTTTATAGTACTCATTTGATAATTAACATTCTGTCTTGTGAAAGTTCTAATGTAGAGTTGTTATTTAAATACTATATTGTTATTTAATTTTTCATGTGTTTGTGTCTTACCTCTTTGTAAACCCTGAAATGCAAGAGAAATGTGAACTACTATCATCTTTTTAATTATCATTATCTTTTTTATAAGGAACAGCCTTTTAAATAGTTGAGGTCATTTTAAACTTTACTTCTACTTTTCAAGTTGAGAAGATTCTCAATGTAGGAGCACCTTTAAGTCTGATGTGCCCACTTATTCTTTTGTCTTCCTTCAATTCTGACCTCCTTTCTTTCCTAATTTCCCAGGCTGTTAATATTCTCTCCTTTATGTTTACTTACCTGCATTTACATGTTGATTTCCTACCTCCCTTCTTCCCAATGGAATGTAAATTCTGTTAAGGGCTGGAACAACTTGGTTTTTGCCTTGTATTCCCAAAGCATAATAAATGTTTGTTGAATTGGTCTTAATTATTCAAGTTATCATAAGAAACAGTGATTAGAATAGGAAATGATAACTATGAAGTTATGTTATGTTCTGGGTATGGAATTCATCATCCTTACATGTAATACTTAATAATATCACAGTAAAAATTTAGAGGACCTAGGTTTAAATCCAGATTTGGACAATTCAACAAAGATTTATTAAATATCTTTTATGTTCAGGTCACTGTACTGTGGACACAATAACAACAGCAAAAATGAAACAATTACTGTCCTCAAGGAGCTTACATTCTATTTACTAGCTATGTGACCATGACCATAGAAGACCATTTCACCTCTGTGAGTATCAATTCCTCAAATGTAATTAAGATCTCTTTCAGCTCTAAGTCTTGTGATCTTATAATTTTATTTGGTAAGCTTCTCATATGAGATGGTACAAAAACATTTACTGAAATTAACATAGGGTACATTCAACCAACATTTCTTCCTTGTCTAAGTAGAAGGGCACTTTAACAGAGCAGGAAATAAAATTCCTTTAGCTTGAATGATTCTTCAGAAAGCAATGTTGACTTTTATGTAGTATCACTGTTCTGGGTGATCAGCTAAATGGATTAATAACTTATTTTGTTGCAGGGGGGTAGGATGGGGAGCAAAGTTGTAAGAAGATTTTTTTAAACTATTAAACTTTATATTTCAATTAACAAGCATTTATTCACTCTCTTTCCCACCCTACCCACCACTAGAAAAAGGAAAAAAGTCATTTTGACAAATATGCATAGTTAAAATAAAATATGGACAGGTTGACCATGTCCAAAAATGTAAACTTTTGCACCTTAAATCCATTACCTCTATGTCAGTAAGTGTGCAACATGCTTCATTAATTCTCTGGATGGACTGCTAAATCTCTACGCTGTTCATTCTACAGCCCTCCCTTTATCTTTCCCCATCAAACATCACTCTTTAAGTTTACTGAGATAGGTACTGCTGTGATCATCATTCTCTTTTGCTCCCCAAATTGGATACTACATTTGTTCTTTTCTAATTCCCAGAGATTTTTCCTGCTTATGACTTCTAAAAATTAAGAGCCTGACAATTTGTTGGTTATCCTAAGGTTTCCATGATCAAGTCTTGTTGAATTGATATGATTATTATTTATTAAACCTATATTTTGCCTTATTTTAAGTTTAGTTATGTACCAGAACTTATTCTTAAGAAAACTGTCATGTTTTAACATGAATATCTGCTATGGATCTTGTGACTATGAAAAACATATGGAAGGTAAAAGGTACATTTAAAATTTATTGACTAGGACCCAGATAACTCAGAAACCCAGAACCCAGAAAAAATAAACAAAGATATGACCATAAAGACACATGTACACACACCCCTAAATAGAATTTTCTTCAAAGACATGGAGAAATAAAATAATATACTTCATTGTTTTACCTGATAATGATTGGCTTGTACCATATGTTGTGGACTAGGATAAAAGCCTTCACTGGATCTTGGGCTAGGATAACCAGGTCGGCTGGGCTGTGAACAAATTATAAACAGTGGTAAAAAGATGAATATATCAGTTACTTTAACAATCTATCCCATCAAATAGCATTTACTGAAGAGATTGTAAAAATATGCCTCTTTAAGTCAAGGGAGTCAATGAGGTCCAGGGAAAGGAGCACTGGGCTTAGAGTCAGAAGACCTGGGTTTGAGCTATGGCCCTATCACTCTGTGAAAGATACACCCTTTCTGAGTTTCAATTTATTTTTTTAAAACCAATTTATAAAACGGGGACAAAATTCTTTTTTTGTTCACCTTTACAGAGTGAGAACATGGATGAAAAACATTTGTAAAAATAAGGTATTTTGTTTGTATCCTCAGGGTCTGGAATACTGCTGGACACACAGAAGGTTCTTAACACATGAGATAATATGATTGAATGAAGAATTGTCAGATTATTTAATATGATAAATGGTTTAACAGAAAGGACATGAGATTGAGAGTCAGTAAATCAGAGCTTTGATCCCGGCTTCAGTTTAGTGACTTTCTGGGCCTCAGTTTTGTCGTATATCAAATGAAGGAGTTAGAACAAATAACCTCAAATATTATTTTCTTTTCAAACATTTTATAATCTAGTTAAGAGAATTTATATTGAAATCTAAGTTAAAGAATCAGGTGGAATTCTTTAACCTGGAACAGAAAAAGATAAAAAGTGGTAAGTAAACAGGGGTCACTGACACTGAGGTGAAAAGAAAAAGGAATGGGTTTTAAGCACAGCAGGAGGGAAAGAAGATAGTTTTTATGAGGAAGAATTTCTAAATAGGGAAAGGGTTATCAAACGAACAGAGTAGGCCTTTCCCTTCTGTATGCTGAGGCATTCTAGTAGCACTGGGAAACCAGTCTAAGAAGTTATAGCAAGGACAGTTTCAGTTCAATACAAAGAAGAATGTTGTAACAATTATGTTTTTTTAAAAAAATGGCATGGGGAGTTACTTGTAACAGGACCTGTTTAAGTGGAGAATGGATGACTACTTGTCATGAATGATGCCTAAATTCAGTGTTTTTTCACTTAAACCATGCTCTATTGTGAAGGAGTAGAGAGACCCAGTATGGTTGGTGGGAGAAGACTAGAAAAATTACTTATGCAAAGACTCCATATCATTCCCTGATTCAAAAACCTTCAGTAGCTTCCTATTATTGAAAGGATAATACACAAACTCCTTATCCTGGCATTTAAGACACTCTACAACCTATTAACTATTTTTCTAGCCTCATTTCATATTACTCCTCACTGATTATGAGCCAGCACTTAGCACAGTGCCTAGCACACAAGTACTTAACAAATGCTTCTTGACTGACAGACCTACGTTCCCTATATTTCAGTCAAACTGAATCTTATTTTGTACTTTCACCTCTGTCTATTTGCACATACCATCTCCCTATGCTTGAAACATTCCACTTACTTCCACCTATCGAAATACATCTTAAAACGCTTTCTTTAAGACCCAGCTCAGGTACCACTTCTTCCATCAAGACTTCCCTGATTCCACCTCCCATAGATGAAAGTGGTCTTGTTACCTTTTACTTTATATCATATTAATCTGTATGCATGTCATATCCCTATTGTTAGATTATAAGCTCCTTGAGCATCTGTAATTTTTCACTTTTGTATCTTTAGGGCATGATATAGTACTCTGAACATAACAGGAACTTAATAAATATTTAATGAATTGAGTTGAATGTTTTACAGGAATACCATGCTTTAGTTGAGGACTGGATTATTATGATCTCTACGATACCTTCAACTTAAGAGTCTATGATTCATTGTTAGATGCGTCAATATTATACTGACAGAATGGAAAAATTTTACTGGGGCAAATATTCCCAATATCTTAGTTATGAAAGGACGTCACATCTACAAACCCCGCCACTCAGATGGGGACATCTGGAACACAAATAGGTATGTCTTTTGACTTAAATTCAAAAGGCTGATTTTTTTTCCTCCAAATATATAAGCAAAATACACCCCATAACAAAATGTGTGTTTTCTGCTTCTCTAACTAAAAAAGAGATGGGAGGAGAAAAAACAATCCAAATTCTTTTATAAGACACTTAGAATCTCAGAACTGCATGAAACTAAAGAGGTCATCTGGTATTAATGCCCTCATTTTACAGATGAGGAAACTAAATTATAGAGAAGTGGTTTGCCCAAGTTCACCTAGATAGTTAGTGGCAGAATTGGGACATAGAGAATCAACCATGTGAATTATCTGTTTGGAGACTGGGGTGGAGGTGGGGGGAGACGATGCCTTTGGCCAATACCTCTAAAAATGGTTTAGCAATAGCTCCCAGTTACCTAGGTTTGCAATCTAGGTGTCATCCTCAACTCTTTACTCTCTCTCACTCTCTCATATCCAATCTGTTGCCAAGACTTGTTGATTTTACCTTCACAACATCAAGTGATGATCAAATGAGATAATATTTGTAAAGTGCTCAGCACAGTGACTAGCAAATTGTGGGTGCTTAATAAATGCTTATTCCCTTTCCTCCCTTCTCCATAACATCTACATGCTCCCCCTCCTCTCCTCTAACGCTACTCCCACTCTGGCACAGGCCCTTATCACCTCACATCTGGACTACTGCAATAGCATGATGGTTGATTCCCTGCTGCAAGGTTCTCCGCACTACAGTACATTGTCCACTAAACTGTCAAATTAACCTTCCTAAGGTGCAGGCCTGATCATGTCATCTCCCATTCAGTAAACTCCAGCAACTCCTTATCACCTTCAGCATCAAATAGAAAATCCTCTGTTTGGTGTTCAAAGCCCTTTATAACCTGGCTTCTTCCTACCTTTCCAGTCTTCTTGCACCTTACTCTTCCCCCTCCCCCAACATACTCTGTGATCCAGTGACACTGCCCCCTTGTTGTCCCTTGCACAAAACACTCCATTTCCCAACTCCAGGCATTTTCACTGCCTGGCCCCCATTTTCAAAATTCTCTCCTTTTTCATCTTGCCTCCTGGCTTTCTTCAAGTACCAGATAAAATCCCACCTTCTGCAGGAAGCCCTTTCCTAATGCCCCTTAAAGCTAGTGCCTTTCCTCTGTTGATTATCTCCAATTTATTCTGTTTATGTTGTTTCTACATAGTTATTCACGTGCTGCCCCCCTCATTAGACTGTGAACTCCTTTTTGCTCTTCTTTATATCCCTAGGCTTAGCACAGTGCCTGGCACATAATAGGTGCTTAATTGGGGGGTAGGGGTGGAGAGGAAAGGTAATTAGCATTTGTATACTGACTATGGGAAAGAGAGGGAGAAAATCATTAAGAAATACATGTAAAGTCTGGGTCTTGATACTGCATCAACCATACCATGCTATATATTAACCTTAGGAAACACAAAGGGAGGTTTATATGTTAATGGAAGGAGCAATGATTTGGGATCCTCCAATGCAGGGATAGCTTCAGATAAGGTATTCCATGTGAATTATATTAAATACTTTCATAATTCTTACAACCTTTCCAGTTCTGTCTATGATCTGGTAAGTCTGTGATGATGATGTAGATACACACACACACACACACACACACACACACACACACACACACACACACA